CATGGTAGTTCTATTTTTAGTTTTTTAAGGAACCTCCATACTGTTTTCCATAGTGATTGTATCAAGTTACATTCTCACCAACAGTGCAGGAGGGTTCCCATAAACTTCAAAGACTTAAATTCTATAAGTCTAAGAACTGTAGCCCATCTGGACAACCAGTTTGGAGATTCTGTGGAGGGTACATTGTTTGGGCAACATGAGAGGTGGTTGCTTAGAGGTCACTCAGATAAAATGCATAATTTTCCTCTGAACTTGGAAGTCTATGAACAGATAATAGGGTTCCATGTCAGTAGCATAACAGGGGTTCCAAGGCTTCGGACGATAAATGAGGAACTTTATGGGCTCAGAGGAAGGTTTCTGTTATCTTACCCAGTTCTGTAACTTACCCAGTTCTGTGAGGACTCTCACAGAAACTTCTCTCCTTCTAGGTTCAGTCAAGAATTGCTGTCCATTGAACTGGGTACATTTTCAATCCAGCTGCTATTTCTTTTCTACTAACACCATGACCTGGACAGCAAGCTTAAAAAACTGCTCGAGCATGGGAGCTCATCTGGTGGTTATCAACACACAGGAGGAGCAGGTAGTTGGAGTACAGCTTCCTCCAGTGCCAATGAAACACCCTTCACAGGACACATCCCTTTTTCCATACATGTGTACTGTATTTGGCCCACAGTTACTATTTGTTAAGTGAATTTACTGAAATACATGCTGTTCTTACCATTTCTGTAAGTCAATACCAACTTTATTTTCATTACTAGAAGAAACTAGAAAAAAAGGAACTTCCATGTTCAGTTCCTTAATTAGTAAGGCAGGAAAAAAGAGGGTTGGGACTTCATTTTAGAATGACCAGTATGTTTATAAACATGTGAAAGGGGGCAAGCAAAATGTCCATTATCTTTAAGCTATGATTTGTAACGTTTTGGGCTACCAATAACAGTAGACAAATTTTGACTGTGTTACTGAGAACCTCCTTCTCTGTTGAAGGTTCTTTTTCATTGGTTTAATTTTATGTTATGTATGCTTTACCACAGTAAACAAATCAGGAGGTAATCCTCTATGATCTTACCATTTCAGGCCTATTTTTCTGTCATCTCTAGTCTAGATCCTACTTTATTTCTTTTAATAACAATTACGTTCAACATTTGTTCAGAATTGGAATAATTGATCTCCTCATATTTTGTGTGTATCTTCCATAGGAATTCCTTTACAGTATGAAACCTAAAAGGAAAGAGTTTTATATTGGACTGACGGACCAGGTGACTGAGGGTCAGTGGCAATGGGTAGATGGTACACCTTTCACAAAGTCCCTGAGGTAACTTCCTTCTTGTAGTAGAATTATGACACTAGCCCAAATTGTAAAGTTAGACCACCGTTGAGGAGAGTCCTCAGAACTTCCTTCTGGCCCAGGAGGTATATTCAAGTCCATTCTTGGTGATATTAGATGCAAGAAGGGAAAGAGCTGATGTAGAAGACAGAAAAGAGAAGTACAAGGACCTACTGCTCCCATCTCCTAGAACTAGATCAAGAATAAAGGGGAAATAACAGATGAAATGAGAAGAGGCTTAGAATTGTGCAATAACTCATTGGAAATGCATGCAAGACAAAGAGTGGAATTAGTAGTCTTATGCCCACAAACTGCAGTCAATGAGACAAAAACAGTGATTTGAGAAAGACAACAGATTCTTATGGAGTAAAAGTAGGATGCTCTGATCCTTTAACACATTGTTTCACTATAGCACTGTAACATGACTGAAGTGTGCGCCTCAGTTAATACAAACTCTGTAGAATAAAGGGAGCAAACATGATATATGAGTATGAAGGAAACAAATCCATCAGGATATCAATCCTTCCCATAACATCTCATTCTGGATCTAAAGCCATGAGACATCATTGCAGAACAGCAAGTCAGAAAGATCCAGTTTAACTTCACTGTTCACAAACTCTGTGACTTAGAGAAATGGTTTAGCTTTTCTGAGATTCCTTTTCTTTATCAATAAGAGATTATAATCCCTGCCTCACAAAATTGTTGTGAAGTTAAACAACACAAATGTAATTTGCCTAGTTTACAGGTCACTTTACCTCTTGTAAATCTCCCATGTCTCTCTCTTTCAGCTTCTGGGATATAGGAGAGCCCAACAACATAGTTACAGTGGAGGACTGCGCCACCATAAGAGACTCTTCAAATCCAAGGCAAAACTGGAATGATATGCCCTGTTTCTTCAATATGTTTCGGATTTGTGAAATGCCAGAAAGAAATAGTTGAACAGGGAAAAATCACCAAGACAGAAGGCACAACGTAAACGTATAAATGAGAAGGAACAAGCGATAATCACAGCCGCACAGCTCCAACATAAGTGTGCATTGCACTTTATAAGGACTTCATAAGTGTTTGTTGCTTTGATGTAAATAAAAATACATCGTTTTGAATGTTATAATTCATGATATTGACAGAAGTGCATTTTTCTCTACATCAGTCTCGGGATTTCTCAGAATTTACCAAGCTTCTCTAGCAATGTTGTGGGTGGGGGGGGGAAAGGAGTATTTCTCCTTTTGGTACATTTGCTTCAGTTATGAGTATTTGTAAGAAAATACAGGGACACAGAACAAGCACCAAATCCAGCAAAGAAGAGGATTTTGGAAAGTGCCTTGAACAATTCGAAATCAGGCTCTGTGTCATGTCTTCTTTTTAGTTCCTGAAAAGTCTGTCTTCTCTTCTCAATTTCATCCTGTTTTTCACTCCCTACCTAAGCATATCTCCTATGTTCTCCTATATAATAAGTAGGAAACTTCTTCAAGTCATGAAACGTATTCCTGCTTAAAAGACTGGTGTGGACTTTCCGGCCAAAGGCATTCACTGCACCTTCTTAGAAAGATCATGCTAACCTTCGGCTCCAAAGAGACTGTCATCCAGTCTACTCATCTCAGAAACTCCATTTCCTCTCTATTCTCTTCCATTGACTAACTGGATCACACCCAAATGTTATCTATTGCTCAGCCAGAACCAGAGTCCAATTATTCTAAGACAAGAGTCAACTTGACACTTTCCTGTCTCAAGCCTATCCATTTATTGCATAATATTCTATCAATACTGACAAGATTATTCAAGAATATATAAATAACATGGAAGCTTTTATAACCATGTTTCTTGCACACAGCACCATAAAGAGACCCTTGAAATCATTGGAATTAATGCGTAATCATTGAATGGGAAAATTCAACTGAACAAGTGAAAATAATATATTAGCTTTCTTTTTTTTTTTTTTTTTTTTTGCGGTACGCGGGCCTCTCACTATTGTGGCCTCTCCCGTTGCGGAGCACAGGCTCCGGACGTGCAGGCTCAGCGGCCATGGCTCACGGGTCCAGCCGCTCCGCGGCATGTGGGATCTTCCCGGACCGGGGCACGAACCCGTGTCCCCTGCATCGGCAGGCAGACTCTCAACCACTGCGCCACCAGGAAAGCCCTATATATTAGCTTTCTTTATAAACATTTATTTCTCTTAGGCATAAGTGACAATCTGTGGTTTTGAAATCAATATGCCTTTAAAACAAAAGTCATTCAACCTGAAAGTAATCCAATAAAAATATCTTCAACTTTCTAATTTCTTTTTTTCATCTCATAAACATCAATGAGGAAACACTGAAAAACATGTGGACATTTTTTTGTTCATTATTGTTGTATTTCAGGTGGCTATAATTATCTTACATTTTATATCAATATTGAAAGATATAAAAATATTAATGTATATTATTTCACCATTTATAATTTAAGTTATACAACTAACTCTGCCTTCAAAGTTTGGCAAGAAAAGAAACAATTGTTAAGGGTTTATTTGCTAAAGTAAAGATCACTAGAACCTAAATTATTTATCAGGAAAATTCTTCTTTGAGAAGGAAATCATCCAATTGAGACTGTTTTTAAATACCGTATTTTATAGGACTACATAAATACTTAGGCACCGGAAAACCCAAAAAGTTGCAAAAAATAAAGAGTAATTAATCGTTCATATTCCCAAGACCATATTCCCCAAATAAACCACTGTTATGACTTAAATACTATTACCATTGGGGTCCCCAATTTTTTAAAAAAGAAAAATCACTGTACTACATCTCATAAAAATGATACATATTTATTATTAAAAATTCCTACAGAGCACAATTGTATAAAGATGAAAGTGAAAAAAATTCAAATCCCAAGTTCATATAGTTAGAAATCATACAACAGATGAGTCTTTTAAAACATTAAATTTAATTTTACTTGAATTTAACAAATAAAAAAATTGAGGTGAAATTTAAGAATTCTTGAACTTCAAGAATTTTATAGGCCTTATAGATTACCACAAAAAATTTTTTCCTGAAGGGTCCCTAAAAGAAAAATGATAAGGAATCAAGTAAAATGTTCTTCTTGCTTTCCTATTTCTTCTTCTTCCCACCCCCCTTTTCCTTTCTCAACAATATAGCCCTAAAATCATTCATTGGATGGGGCATAGCTAGGTAGTTTTTGCATGTGCATGTGTGAATGCATGGGGGGAAATATAACATATATAGATATACATATAAGAAACCGATAATCATAGTTACTTTGAAGAGGCATTTAGGGGTTCAGGGTGGATGAGAGATTCACCTTATACTTTTATTAATGTTTTTTACTGTTTGCCTTTTTAATGCACACAAACATTACATTTTCAAACATAAAAAGTGTTTAGATTTTTTAAGTGTTTCCAAGTTCTAGGACTATTTCAATGTCCTAAAGAAATAGGCAATTATTTTTATAAAATTACTATCAGCTGTCTTAAAGAAATTGTGAAGACTAGGAGAGGTGCCATGAGACTTGAGGATAGACTGAAAGCGACCAAGTGTGGAAACAGGGAGAACAATCAGAAGGCCATTGCAATAATCCAGGTAAGAGATGGTAACTTGGTCTGTGATGGTAGCCATGGAGGGAATGAAAAATGATCAGCGGGGGGAGAAATAGATTAGAGGTACAGATGTAGACACAGATGTATAAAATCACAAACAGGTCATATTTTATTGACAACTGAATCTTTAAATACAGTCTTATACAAATGAAAAATGGATAATATTAACTATACAAGCCTATTATCATTTACATAAATTTATTTCAACAGGTTTTGTAGATTTGTGCTATGTAATTTATGGCTAACAGTTAAAGTCACTTGGTGCTATTTCAGTTAAAAGTATCAGGTTTAAACACAGACACACACATAATCAATCAATCAATCAAACACTAATATTCCAAACTTACAAGATCACTAATTTACAGAATAAATACTGTTTTTAAAAATAGTGGTAAGGAAGTTAGGTTAAAAAGCTGTCGCTTGAAATTTTTTAGCTTGGATGCAGGAAACGTCAGCAAAATGAATGTATGTAAGAAGACAGCCTTATTTTGTTGACGTTGGACGTGACTGCTTCACAATTAAAACTACACACATCGCAAACGCATAACTTCAGGTTGTTAAAGCCATGATTTCCTTGCTAGTTTGAATTGCAGCTTTATAGCTCTAAAGAAGCTTGCTAACAATTTACATAAATGGATTGAAAATATAATGTTTTTCTGATTCAAATTAAAAACACAGAAACACTAATACAATGTTGCAAGAATAATTAAGAACTATTACCTTTTAGCCAAGAGGCCACAGCACCTCCAGTAACTCTCCCATAATACCAAAGGGAACACATTTCACTTGCTATGAAAGGTAGATCTGGGCCATAGTCCTGTTTCTGTCATACACTAGACATGTGAAGGTGAGCTCTTTGGCTTCCCAAGGGTTTTGTGTCCACAGCTATAGAATTAAAGGAGTTTGGTAAAGGTGGCCTGTAAGGGACTTTTCCACTCAAAAAGAAATTAAGTCAGCTTGAGACTCCCCACTATGGGAAGACTTTTAAAGTGGAGTAAGAAGTAAATTTTTGAAAAGGTAAATAGACTTTTTTTTCTACCTGGGCAATACCATAATTCTAACTATTCTATTCTGTTATTCAGAAAATATTTTGCTCACGGAATTTCAATCTAATGGCATACTATTAAGAAGTCTGAAAATGAAGCATCAGACAATAAAAATGTTGCTTAAAAACTTTAAAGAGTTTGTGATATTTGGGTTAAAAACAATGATACACCACTACCAGTAGGAATATCCCACCTTTGAACTTTAAGAGCTAAGAATTGGAGCAGAGGAAACAATGACTTATAGATTTCACCATTCAAGCTACTCTTAGATACGTTAATCAATACACACTAACTGAAAAGTAAATACCTTGAAATACTATCAAGAAAGCAAAGTTAATGAAAATTGATTCTCACAGAAAAATATGATTTTTTCCACCAAAACACTATACAAAAGCACATTATCTTGAATGAATTAAACAAGAATAACGAAGGCCATCATGACTGAAAATGTTCTATGACTGAGAATGTTTTCTCTGTTCCCACGATGCATGTACATTCTTCCCTAGTCTAATTGGTTCTTCTTTTCTGTCCTCATAACAGGGACCCCTTCCTAGGCTTCTTGTTGAATGCTGCTCCAGGTATCTTACAAATGCTACTTGTCTTAAAGTCACAAGGAAAATCATTCCAGGCCCATTTGTCTTTGTCATTAACAAAGACAACACATTTTTCTTTCTGGTAGTTGTTGGGTTCACTCTCGTGCCAGAATCTGAAATGTGTGTGTGTGTGTGTCTATACATGTTGGGTGTGCATGGTAGAGGCCAGAGGACAAGGCAGAGAAAATGCTCCTAGTGAAACATTTAGAGCTGCACTGTCCAACACAAGTGTAGTAGTCTACTAGTATAGAGGTTACTCAACACACAATGCTCCATTCCGAGTAAGCTTTCTTACATTGGTATACTCCACCCCAAAATGAATTCTGCTTGCTGTCTTCTTCTCACCTTTGCCTATAAAGCTCTTTTGCCCCAGTCAGTATACTCACACCATCTGTGGGTTCAATGGTGTCTTGTCCACCCAATGCCACTGGCCTTCAAGGTTCTCATCTGTAAGTCCCAGGAAATATGAAAATCGCTATCCAAAAATTGAGTGATAACGTTCTGCCTAAAAATGTGAATTTTTATAAGTATATTTGCCTTTATCAGGTGATAGCTGTTATGTTAGGAACAGAGGAAAGAAGTCAAATAAAGTACTAGTTAAGCACAAAAGCATTGGCATCAGATCTGTTTTCACATCCCGCCTCTGGCGTTTATTCCATAATGTTAACGAGTGCTTTAATTTCACCAAATCCCAGTTTTCTCAACTCCAAAAGGGGTGACTCCACTATTTCATAGAGTCACTGTGAAGATTAAGTGAGATCAACTTGCAAATCACTTAGCACAGTACTTAATAGGATTGGATTTCTAGGAACTTTTATTTTTTAAATTGCCTTCTTCAATTGTTTGTGTATTTCATTAAACTCCATTTTATTCAGGAGCTGGTGAACCTATAGTTGCAAAGCCATGGAAACAGAATCCTCCAGGAAACCCTGCTAACCAAGAATAGAATCTGAGTCATGGTATCGTACATATATGGAAATATATTACATGAGGAAATAAATTTCAGTTCAAATTGAATTTACCTTGAGTTTTTTTTTTTTTTTAGAATGACAACCATACTTCTGAATTATTTTTCCTGTGCTCTATTCTGAGAAGCTATTTCAATCCTGATTAACCATTCATTTATTTACTTACTCATGAAATATTTATCAGGACCTATCTAAGTGTGCCTAGCGCTGCAAAGGCCATTGGAGATGCAAAGATGCTTAAGGCATGGCTCCAGCCCTCTACAAAGTAGGACTCATTGGAACACTGAAGTAAGTGCCATGGTCACAGGATGCACAAAGTACCACGGAAGTATCTCCAAACTAGAATAGGAAAGATGGAGCAGAGAAGGTGGTCAGGGTAGTTTTCTGTAGAAAATAACACATGAATCAAATCTGGGAAGACCAGAAGAAGTTGGCCATGTGAAGAAAAATGAAAGAGGAAGAAAAGTCTTTCCAGGTAGTTGGAAGAGATGAAGCAAAGGCACAGAGGTATAGCAGAGCACAGAAATTCCTCTTTCTCTGCAAAGAGATTCAAACCAGCAGGGAAACGGATGTAAGCCTCTCAACATACCTGCTCAGCTTCTGTGCTGATGGTGGCCAGATGAGCCCCTGTCCCCATACAGTGTCTTTCACTCTGAGCCCACGTCTTGCTGTCATTAAAAACAGCAGTTGGACTGGAAGGCTCTCCAGCCCACAAGACAGCAATTCCAGGTGACCCCTCATGTGAAAATTGAAAGGAAAATTAGTTACACCATGTATGTTATCTGTAACAGATTGCATAACTATTTCACTACCTAATATCCAACTAACATTTATGAGAATAATACCAGGATTACCAAAGTCATTCTGTCCCTCCCTTTTAAAAAATCCTGAAAATTGGGCTTCCCTGGTGGCGCAGTGGTTGAGAGTCCGCCTGCCGATGCAGGGGACACGGGTTCGTGCCCCGGTCCGGGAAGATCCCACATGCCGCGGAGCGGCTGGGCCTGTGAGCCATGGCCGCTGAGCCTGCGCGTCCGGAGCCGGTGCTCTGCAACGGGAGAGGCCACGCCGGTGAGAGGCCCGCGTACCACAAAAAAAAAAATCACTGATCACAGATCACCATAACAAATATAATGATGAAAAGGTTTGAAATATTGTGAGAATTACCAGAACATGACACAGAGACACAAAGTGAGCAAATGCTATTGAAAAATGGCACTGATTTCCTCGATGAAGTGTTGCTACAAACCTTCAATTTGTAAAAAGCATAGTATCTGCAAAGTGCAATAAAGCAAAGTTCAATAAAATGAGGTATGCCTGTATAGACAACATTATATTACAAACTTCCAAGTTCCTAAGAGATTAGATCTGAGTTGCTCTCACCACAAAAAAGAAATGACAATTACATGACAGAAGTGTTAGCTAACACTCCAATTATTGCAATAAATGTATCACATTTTGTACACCTAAACATTTACAATGTTATGTGTCACATTTTGTACACCTAAACATTTACAATGTTATATGTCAATTATATCCCCATAAAAATTAATTTTTTTAAAAAAGGAAAGGATCTCATCATTTTGCCCTTATTCTTACCATGTTACTGCAATCCTAATAGGCAGAATTAGGATAGCCAGCCAAGCAGCAGTAGTAGAAGCAGTACTAACAGAGAATTTACCATATGCCAGGCTTTGTTCTAAGCACTTTAAATTTTTAACTTATTTTATTCTGACAATAACTCTATAAAGTAGGAACTATTATCTTCATTTTGCATATGAGGAAAACAAGGCAAATAAGGGTTAATTTGTCCAAGGTCAAAAAGCCAGTAAGTGGCAGAGTAAAATTTTGTGCCAAGGCAGTCTGTCTCTTTCCAAATTCATGCTCATAACCACTCCTCTTTACTTCCCATTAATCATCTATTTTGGTGGGACTGGGGAGGGGGGGGTCATTAAAATCAATAAGTGTATTCCCTATTCAAAGATTTATTTAAGTATTAAAGTCTGAAGAAAGTATTATTCTGTTCTTCATTTTCCACCTACCCAAACAGCTGTTTTTCTACATTCCCAACAAACTTTGGATCAGGTACATGTTTAGACTCCATAGATGAAATGTCCCTTGACAGTTTTCATTTATGTCTTTAGGTGTCTCCCCTGCCACCAGGAAATCTGAGCAGTATTTGCTACCACTGTGCTAGAGTTGCTAGGGGGAGCCCGTCCTCTAGTGGTCCCATGCTGATATGCAGCTGGTTAAAGCATTCACAGAAATTGCCTCAAAGACATTTTTTTACTATTAGGTGCAGTGGCAGAACACACGTAAGACAAAAGAAAATATTAAAAAGCAAACAGAAACCTTCATGGTCGGTCTTAATGCATTATTGTGTTTAACTGAGGGGATGACACTAGTCTTAGATTGATAGGGCAGAGCGTGAGGTCTCAAAGGACAATTATTTCACTCCTGAGATGTAGACTTTAGTATGCTAGAGCTTTTTAAAAAACATACCACCCCCATTCTTAGTAACTTTCAAAAAGGGACTGAAAATGACAATTCTTATTCTGAAATAAATGTCATACGACATGCTTTCAACCATGGTTGCTGTGAAAACCATACCAAGCCTATACATTCCCCAGGCTGAAGGGACTTGCAAGTAAATGTAATCCTCTTCCTTTTTCCTTTCTTTCTCAAGAGAATATGTGATTGATGGGGAGCTCCTGAGTGTGAGTTCTAGTCACAAAGCATATGTATCTTCCTCATGTACAGTTAAGAGGCAATAACAGAAATGATTTTTTTTAAGCCAAAAAAAAGCTAAATATAACCAAGTGCAATCTTAGCCAGTTGTGATAACTGAGATCAGACAGTAAGCTACCAGATTTATCAGCAGCTGTGCTACATGATATCCAGTTTTCCTTTCCCAGGCCATAGCGTCTATGTACCAAAGTAAAATTCGTCTTCAATGCTACTACTTTCTTGGGCCCAAATATTAACGGACCCTGGAGCATATAAATGAGACCTTCTGCAACTATAACAAAGCATATAAGGAATACTTATGTCCTGTAGCTAGGAACAATCAAAATGAGAATGAGTGAAAAAAGGAAAAACCCAACTTTCTGATTTCTAGTCCCTCTTCACTGAAATCACTGTTAATTCAACAAGTATATATTTATGGCATAAGGAAAATATTGAGTAGATAAAAATGAAGACATGGTCCTTACATCAAAGAGCTCACAAACCAGTGAGAATTTCAACAGCAACCCCCAAAAACAAGGGAGATCACCTTTCAGACTGAGGGGATAAGTAACGTTTCACAAAGCAGCACTTTCCAGGATGGGAAGGATTTCACCAGGCAGGTAGAGAAGGGAAGGAATTCCGGGCAGAGGGAATTGCAAGCACTCAATGCCCACGCTGCTGATGGCATCTGCAGAATGACTAGTGTGCGGGAGCAGACTGAGTGAAAGGGAAAACTGAGAGCTGAGGATGAAATGGTACTTTGGACTTTAATCTGTAAGCAAAGGAAAATTATTAAAGGTAATCAATGAGTAGGGGAGGAAAGGGCATGAGCAGGGTTTGGTTTCAGGAAGGTTATTCTGGTGTCAACACGTAAGCTGAACTAGGGCTGAGAAAGCTGGAGGCAAGCCAACTACCTAGAAGGTTATCGGAATGGAGGAAGTGAGGAGTAATAAAAGCTCACATGACAACCGTGAAGGCAGATGTCAATGTCTAAGCAAGGGGGTTGAGCTGGAAAAATTATCACCTGCATCTTCTACCCAAAAACCCCCTACAGTTTAGGCTACATGTTTATCCACGACAGTGCCTCACAACCTCAATAATGACAAGAAAGGCCATGGCTGGGGAAGCCATCCAAGCCCTTCCCTAGGAGGGCGAATGGGGGAGGTGTATCAGAATCTCTGGAGAGAGCAGTATGTTATTTTAAACTGAAAACAAAAAAAGAGAAAAAAAAAAAAAAAAGAAGTACCCATATCATTCTGATTCATCTCCTGTGACAATCACTGAATGAGAACTCCAAGATCCTTCTGGCTTCCAAAGTCTACGGCTCTCACTTTAGTTCTATCTCATGCGTTGATTCCCTTCACTTATGCTGACCACCGTTCTGGGATATGAAAGGTGGCCTAGATCACAAAGATAATTTGAAGCAAATGAAATTAACTGTACCAGCAAATAAGTAATAAATACAAATGATCTCGACAAGGAGCCTCTGTGTGTTTAGAAACATGAGGACAGAGGTCTAGCCTTAACTTCTTAAAACCTCCATTTCTTGAAAATGAGTAATAGATATAAAATGTCCTTTTATTACCTACTGGCCACCTATATTGGGTCAATTAAATAAAAAAGATAATGAAACAGGCAAATAGAAAGATAAAAGAGACACCACCTCTTTCCATATTTTTAATTACCATTATTGCACCAATACAGCATACATATGCTCTATATACATATATCTGAAACTTCATTTTCAATTCTTCAGCAATTCAAATACATAATATATTATCATCTTGAGAATACAAAGAACACAACATAGAGGAAGATTGAGAAAACAGGCTCCCAGCAGTTAGTCACTAGTGATTCTATAGGCTTTCCTTTTAGTGTTTTCTATTGGAATTTTTAAATGTCCTGTCATGGCTCTGCAAGAATAGAGCTGCCTGGAACGGGAAGCAATGAAAAAAAAAAAAAAGGACCCAAAGTTAAAAAGAGTCAAGAAGGAAATCCAAGAGAGAGAATCTATTTTGAAACTAAATATAAGGACTCCCTTCAGCCAGAGGGTACACATCCAAATAGGTGCTAAGGGAAGAAGGGAGATCCTCCCATTTCACTCTCAGAATTGCCCCTTAGCAGACAAAATAGCTGGTGCCAGTTCATCTAAGAGCGGGACCCCTTCACAGCATTGTAAAAGGAATGGTGGGCAGAGAGAGGGGAAGTGGTGGGGGGCAACTTGCGCCTGAGATACTCCTGGTGATGGGTATTGCAACCGTCGTTTGGGCAAAACCTACCACAGCTAAAGCCATGGCTCTCCAGCTTGCTTCATAAATGATGGTACATGTAATAGCAGCTTTCTGTTGAAGAGCTGGTGGACTAAAAAAATAAATGTGTATGAAAAGGAGCCAGATACCCAGGCAGCAAGGCAATGTGGGTACTGAACAAGAGTTAAGTGCTTTCAACCTCTCTGCTCTACAAATTAGGTTAAAAACTCTAAACCCTTTAACTTTAGGACAAATAATGGGGCCATTACAAAGTAACGCTGTGCTTCAAATGCAGCAACTAGATGGAGCTGCAAGAAAGTAACTGCTTCTCTAGAAAATAAGTAGGGAAACATAGTCCCTTGAACCTCCTTCACCCGAGAGACACCCGCTGATCAGAGATGCTGCACTAGTCAACAAAAGGAGAGTGGGGTGCCACCAACACAACCCTCTTGCCACAGGAGGACACATGTAAACGCACTAGAGGGTCAGGGGGCTGCACCCAGCACTGGATGTTCACTGAATAAGACAAGCCTGAGGGAGGATATATAGCAGAGACCCAGGAAACAGGTCTTTCTTCACACCTACCCCTATCAAAATTCTGAATCTGTAAACACTGTGATCAGTCTGTCCATTTTTAGAGTCTTCAGTTAATGGAAAAGGAAGTTCTGAGGGTTTTGTCTCCCCTGAAATTGCTAAACAGAGCTTCACAAAGAGGCACACAAGGGTCGTGAGATGATTCTGAAAGAAGTTAAAGAATTTAAAGATGGAGAAAATTTTACAGATGTTGGAGGTTATTTCCCCACCAAAGAGACCCTGGCCTTTAGAGCCCTGCAATAGCCACAAGTATCATAAGACTCACTATTCCCCTGCCCTGATAGTGAACAGGAGATAAGAAATACTTTCTTGGCTGTGCAGCAAGGAACAACACCGGGGAGTGACACACCAGCCTGAACGCAATGGAGAAGCTATGAAAACAACCGTTCAGTAATTTTGGTTCTGGGGAGGGAAGGGGTTCCGAGCTCCCCTCACAGATTGGTGCCCTCAAGGTCATTTTGATTCTTCAAGTCTGTCCTTAACATCCTGCCAGTGCTCCTCAGAACTGGACCCAGTTGGATGGCTGTGGTGCCTGGTTTGGAACAGAGCTGCAAGACAGAACAGAGAGATAGCCAAAGGCATATTAGGATAGGGACTCCATCCTTAACAGTAAGAAATTTCTGCCCAGAATTCCTGAAACTATACTTCACAGCAACTCTACTTATTAAGGCCTGAGATATTCCACTCAAGCTTCATGCTACAGCTTTGTTATCCCACCATCCCCAGCACTCCTATACTTCCTTACCTAGAATTCCTGCTGAAGACTCTATATGACCTACAAATGCCCTGCTTTCCCAGATCAGAGACTTCATTTGACTGTACATACATCATCGATACCCTGGTTGAGAGTATGCTGGTTTCCCTATGCTAATACCTGGATGCAGTGCTAAAGTCACCCCACAAGTCATTGCTTGCAGAAACTGGAGCTGGTGCTGGTGTCGTTACAGGAGCAGGAGAATCCAAATCTAAAAGGATATCTGAATACAAGGTAAGAGAAGAAATAAGAAAAGGGGAAACATAATAAAAATTTTAGAAACAAAAACTTATGTTCACACAAAAACCTATACGTAAATGTTCACAGTGACTTTGTTTGTAACAGACAAAAACTGGAAACGACCCAGATGCTTTTCCATGGGTGATGATTAAACATACTGTGGTATATCCATACCATGGAATACTACTCAGCAGTAAATAGGAACAAACTGTTGATATATACAACTTGATGACTCTCAAGGGAATCATCCTGAGTGGGAAAGGTCAATCCCAAAGGTTATATACCATATGGTTCCATTTATGTAACATTCCTGAAGAGACAAAATTAGAGATGGAGAACGGATTAGTGACTGATTGCTGAGGGTTAGGGATCGTGGGGAGAGGCAAAGAGGTGTGGCTATAAAGGGTGACACAAGGGATCCTTGTCGTGGTGGAACTGTTCAGTATCCTGACCATGGTGGTGGATCCAGGAACCTACACATGATAAAACTGCACAGAACTACAGCCGACCCTTGAACGACATGGGTCGGAACTGCATGGGTCCACTTACGCAGGGATTTTTTTTCAATAAACACTCACTACAGTACTAGGTGATCTGTGGTTGGCTGAATCTGCAGATTCGGAACCGCAGATACGGAGGGACAACTATGAAGTTATACACAGATTTCTGACTGCATGGGGGGGGCGCGGGTGAGCAGGGAGGAAGTGGGCAGTGCACCTGAGCCCTGCACTGTTCAAGGGTCAACTGCACACACAAATGAGAATACGTAAAAATGACAAAATCTGGACTTCCCTGGTGGCGCAGTGGTTGAGAATCCACCTGCCAATGCAGGAGACATGGGTTCGAGCCCTGGTCCGGGAAGATCCCACGTGCCGCGGAGCAACTAGGCCCGTGCACCACAACTGCTAAACCTGCACTCTAGAGCCTGCAAGCCACAACTACTGAAACCTGCGTGCCTAGAGCCCATGCTCCGCAACAAGAGAGGGCACCGCAATGAGAAGCCCACACACTGCAATGAGGAGTGGC